ATCATGATCCTATCGAATGGATTGAAGCTTTTAGTAGAGCTTGTGTAACTAATAGAGTCAGCAAAGAACGAGCGATTGTTTTAGTAGCATTCTATCTTAGAAAGACAGCATTAACTTGGTACAATTATCAAAATATTACTTTTTGAAAGGATGATAATAACCCTCAACGATCATTTACGCACTTATTTAAGGATCATTTCTGTAATCCTTTTAGAATTAGTCAGTGGAAACATCAACTGCGAAATAGGAAACAAAAGCAAGGTGAAACAATTGAAAAATATATCGCAGCAATTATAAAATTATGGAAAAGAGTGGATCCTACAGATAGACATTAGATAAAATTCATGAATTTATCGAAAGTTTAAGACCTGAATTTGTTGTACCTGTACAATCCGCTATGCCTCAAATTGTAGAAGAAGCAATGGAAAAAGCACAAGCATTAGAAACTGCTTTTTCAATGAGAATGGATTTATCAGTCTATTCAATGATGCCAATATATTTACAAAATATGAATGGAGGAATGATTCCCGCTCAAACTAACTTAGCAATGTATCAACCTGCCTATTCAATAAGTTATTCCCAACCAGAAAGTGTAGAAAAGATAGTTGAACGACAAATCAGTGAAGGAATTATTGCAGCATTAAGCCAGATGCGCACAGAAACTAAACCAACCAACCCTACTCCAAATAATAACAATAATAATAATCAAAACAGGAATAATTCAGGATGCTATGTCTGTGGAAGAACTGGACACATCGCGAAAAACTGTTGTCAAAGAAATAATCAACAAAATAATAATAATCGCAACAATAATAGAAGAGATTTAAGGAATGTTGATTGTTACAATTGTAAAAGAAAAGGATATGTCTCTAGGAACTGCAAGTCACCATATCAAATAATGGTAATAATGGAACTAATAACGGTTTCCAAAATAATGGTCGTTTAAACTACTAAGCATACCTCTAGAAGGGAGAGTGCGAATTCTAGAAAACCCTCTAACGAAAATAGTGCAAAAAGAGTGAATTGGAAGGATCCATTAAAAGAAATCAGACCTATTGAAAAGCCAATTCAACTATTAAAAAGACCTACATATGTTCTCAACATTTTATATAATAACTTTGGAATTTATTTATCGAAATGACTACAGCAAAATAAAATAATGTATAATTTATGGCAAGTAGCAGGAGGAAAAGTAGAAAATCGTGAATCTTCTCTTCAAGCTGTGCTTAGAGAAACAAAAGAAGAAATAGCGCTAGATATTAAAAAAGATGAATGTGTATTTTTATTTAACAATCCAGCTTTTAATTGTGATATTTATTTAACGAAAGTACCTGATTATCAAGAGTTACAGCAAACTGAACTTAAAAAACAAGGAGTTTGGACAATTACTTCTTTCGAACAATTCCAATTTATGGTGAAACATAATGAATTAACCTTAACGCTAGTTAATTATTGTACTGATATTCTTAACCAATTAATTAGAGAAGAACCAGCATATCTTAATCAAAAAGAAAGAGCTGAAGAAGCCTTGTATGGAGAAGCGATTGTATATGGACAACCTATTAATGTTTTAATAGATTCAGGAGCTGTAGGTTGTATTATTTCTAAAAGATTCCTAGATAAAATTAATAAAGGAATTGAATTACCTACAAATATTAAAATCATCGATGTAACAGGACAAAAATCATCACCACTAGGAATGGTTCAGCAAGTTCCAGTGCAAATGAGGGATATTAAAGTCCATGTCAATATGATAGTCACAAACTCAGCTGAATATAATGTTCTGCTTGGTAATGAATAGTTGAAAAAGGTTAATGCAAACATCGATTATAGACAGAATACCATTACCATTAAATATGAAAGAATCTAACAACAAATTCCTGTCACATGTTCACAAAAATTGGACCTAACAAAATATACAGTCATTGACCTAGTAGATGAATTAGAATTAGAAGATGAGTTAGAAGACACCATAGCAGTTCCATTTTATAAGGCAAAAATAATCAAAAGTACTTTTCAAATCAATGATCGGCAATATCATCCAGGGTATTTGGAATATATTAAGCAACAAAGTCATAATAGTACTGGCATAATTAATAGTAAAGGGCTAGGAAAATGCCTATGTAAAACCTTAGAAGATCAAGAAGTTTGTAATAATTGTCAAATAGTTCAATAAGACTGGAATATTTATTACGTGATGCAAGAATCAGAAAGTCCAAATGTATCTAATATTCAATTAGAACCAGAAAAAGTTGTACCAATTGGAAAATTAGAGGAAAGTCAATACCAATTACTTCATCAACTATTGGATAAAAACAAAGATCTATTCGCTAAATCATTACAAACTCCAGAAGGGGAACATATTATTATCACTGAAGAAGTGCCACCTATCAAAAAACGAGTTTATAGGACAGCACCAAAGAAAAATGAATTTATTGAGAGTGAAATAAATGTCATGTTAGAACAAGGGCTAATAGAACCTTCAACTAGCCCCTGATCATTTCCAGTACTAGTGGTAGTGAAAAAGAAGAATGGAAAACTTAGGTTTTGCATTAATTATAAACCTCTTAACGATATTACAAAAAAGGATAATTACCCGCTTCCAAGAATTGATGAATTATTAGATTCTCTACAAAATGCACAATGGTTCACCACTTTAGATTTAGCATCAGGGTATTGGCAAATAAAAGTAAGAGCAGAAGATCAGGAAAAAACAGCCTTTATCACAAAATTTGGAACATACGAATTCAAGGTTATGCCTTTTGGACTTTGCAACGCACCTGCAACATTCCAGTGAACTATGGACAAAGTTTTACATGAGATAAAGGAAAAGTTCATTTTAGTTTATCATGATGATGTCATTATATATTCAAAAACTTTTAAAGATCATATTCAACATTTGGAAGAAGTCCTAAATAGAATTCGTAAGGCGAATCTAAGATTAAAAGCAAAAAAATGTCATTTTGCAGTAGCAGAACTTCAATTTTTAAGATATATTGTGAGGAAAAAAGGTGTTAAACCTGATCCAGAAAAAGTCAATAAAATGGTTAATTACCTGGAGCCTCAAAATATTAGAGAATTACGCAGAATCCTAGGATTATTCTCCTATTATCAACGTTTCATCAAAGATTTTGCTAAAGTTGCTGATCCAATGTACAAATTATTAAAAAAGGATGCACCTTACAAATGGATGAATTTACAACAGAAAGCATTTGAGAATTTAAAAGATAAATTAATAACAGCACCGATCGTACAATACCCAGATTTTTCAAAACCTTTCTTCTTATATACCAATGCTTCAATTATAGGACTAGGCGCAGTACTTGCACAGAAAACTGATGATCAAGAGTATGTAATTGCGCATGCTAGTCGAACTTTAATACCAGCAGAAAAGAATTATGCCATCACAGAATTGGAATGCCTTGCGATTGTATGGGCAGTTAAATATTTTTGACATTATCTTTATGAAAGTAAATTTACCATCATCACCAATCATGCAGCACTCAAGTGGTTACTAAATTCAATAACGGAAAATAATAATAAAAGATTGGAAAGATAGAAGATTGCCTTATCAAAATATAAATATGATATTGTATATCGGAAAGGAACTAAACATGCGAATGCTGATGCATTCTCTCATCTTGACTCAACCTCAACTAATAATCACACCAATCCTTTAACTTCACATAATGATCATGGATGAACAACTATATAATGAATTAATCTTATTTTTAACAACTCTCACTTTTATGGATGGTATAACGGATAAACAGAAAACCCAAATTTGGAAAAACTCAACCCAATATATTTATCAAAACAATATTTTATTTAGGAAAATAAAGGATGGTATAAGAAAAGTAATTCTATGCGAACAAGTAGAACCCATTTTATATCACTTTCATACAGATATGAGCGGTGCTTATTTAGGAATAGACGCTATAATTGGAAAATCAAAGATCGATATTATTGGCCACAATTAGAAGAAGATGTAAAAGAATATATAAGAACTTGCGATATTTGTCAAAGAAGAGGACCTACCAATCGGCGAAAAGAACTGATACCAATACTAGTTAAGGGGCCATTTTACAGGATAGGAATTGACATTAAAGGACCATTACCAATCACTAGTAGCGGAAATAGATATATTATTGTTGCCATGGATTATTTTACAAAATGATCAGAAGCAAGAGCGATATCCAATATTAAAGCAGAAATAGTAGCTAAATTTATTTATGAAGAAATTATTTGTAGACATGGAGTTCCACAAGAAATTCTATTAGATAGAGGAACATCATTTATGAATAAATTAATTGATGAATTATGCGAAAATTATCAAACTAAACATCGCCTTACCTCAGCTTATAGATCTCAAACAAATGGAATAGTTGAAAGATTTAATCAGACAATTGGTGAATGTATAGCAAAACTAGTTCAAGATAATAATAAGGAATGGGATCAATTAATTGATGCAGTACTTTTGGTATATCGAACGAAAAAACATAATACTACAGAAAAAACACCATTCTATTTAACTTATGGACGAGAAGCAACTTTACCAATTGATTTAAAAATTCCATCACAAATATCTCAAAATGAAAAAGATCCAATGCAAAAACAAATTTATCAATTGATAGTTGAATTAGAGGAAGAACGAAATGATGTTTCATTAAGAATTGAAAAAGAACAAACGAAGCAAAAACAAGTATATGATCAACAAGGAATCTCAGAAAAATTAAAAATAGGAGATCAAGTCTTAGTAGAATGAACGTGGCTTAAAAATAATTTCTCAGCAAAATTAGAAAATAAGTGGATAGGACCTTATTTTATTCATGAAGTACTTAACGATAATGTTTATAAACTTAGAAATTTAGATGGAAAACTAATTAAAAATGTAATTCATGGGAATAGACTTAAGCAATATCATAAGCGAAGATTAGAACTGATAGTTATAATTTGAAAAATCATACAGAGTTTAAAAATAATTTTATTAAAATAGAAAATTATAATTGTTTATTAATATTATTATCATCAACATATTCAAGACCATCGGCAACAAATATCTGGTCATAAAAAGTAGTAGAGAAGGAGGAATCGGTCGAATCTTCATCAGGCTTATATTCTATTAAATGCTCTGGTACTTGAAAAAAATGACTAACAGGAGCGTGCCAAGTAAAAGTAGCTATTTCATAGTCCTTTTTTAGTTGACCTAATTCTTTCCTTAGTTCGACGATTTCTTCATCCTGCTGTATAATCTTCTTTTGGGCTTCCCAACATTCTTTTTGGATAATGGCCCACAGTTCATTATGGAATTGCGTTTCTTCTTCTTGTTGACAAATTTGCCCAGATTGCAAAATTCCAAACTCTGTCAAAGTTGTAACTTCTTTTTATAAGGATTGAACTTGATCTTGTATTAATAAATGGAAGAATAGAAACACCAAATTAGTCAAAGACTAAGTGAATAAATCGATAATCCAGAAAAGTTCTACAGGGGGAGTCCATTTAAGACTAAATATCCTAGAGGTACAAGTATTCCATCTGCAAGCTGAAAAGAGAAATCAACCGTTCAAGAACTGGATATAAGATCGAAATCCTGTCTGCAAGCTATTCCCGTTTAAAAAACATTTTAAGAATCTTGTGTGCAATATTCACCCTTAAGTTGATGAACTTGTAATTTACAAGCAGCCTTTAGTGCCTTAAATCGAGCTTGTGATTTTTTGGAGGAAGTTTTTGAACGACGGCACGGCATTTTAATATAAGAGTGTTAAGGGAATTATATGAGTTTTGACAAAAGTGATAGATGCAAAAGATTTTGCGATGAAGTGAAGAAAAGGAGATAGGAAAAATTAGGTTCTTAAATAAGAAAAAGATACGACGTGAAAAAATACGTTCTAGTTAAAATAACAAAAATGACGCGAAAAATTCAATAATAACTGATAATTATTACATGTGGAAATAATTAAGGAGAAGAAAAAGTTATTTTTAGAACAAGGAGAAATGTTTCAAAATAGTAATACACGATTAACTAATTTAAGGGTAAAATCAATCAAACTAAATTAGTGGAACAATAATGTCATGATCTACTGAAATTAGTAGTTGATCACTAATAATATTAATTAATTAAGTGTGACAATAAAATTCTTATTTAAAGACACATTCTATTTTGTTATGTTTCACTTTTCTCATCATGACGCCTTACGAAATTGTGTTATAAGACTTATTAATTGAAGAAAACAGTTCTCACGAATTGCGAAATGGATGATAAAACAAAAATTCATGTGACTTACCGATGTTTGTTAAGAGCTCAACGACTAAAACAAAGAATTCCAGCTTTAGTTTTCGCATATTTTTTAGGACAGCTTATTGAACAAAAGGAACTAACAAAAAAGCAAGTTAAACAAATAGTTTCAGAACATTATTATTGGATTTCTGTTCGTGTTTATTATATTTTCGAGATAAATCCTATTCAAATTTATTGTACTGTTAATACTACTGTTAATTTAATAAAACCTTTAAGACAAAATAAAATTAAGTAATTGGTATTGGAAATTTAAAGACTCACAGGAGTTCGTTCTTTAAGGAGGGGAAAGTGTTAAAATAGAAATGTGGCGCAGTAATTTTATGTAGATCAATTTTGTAGATTATTTTGTAGATCTCTTGATTTTTTCGATTTTCTTGATTTTCTTGATTTTCTTGATTTATTTGATAAATCTGATAAATCTGATAAATTTGATATATTTGATTTATTTATTTTATAAATTTTATTTATTTTATTTGTTATATTTTATTTATTTGATATATTTATTTTATTTTATTTATTTTATTTATTTATTATATTTGTTTTATTTATTTTATCAAATATTCTTGATTTTTATTTTATTATAAATAGTGATAGGATTTTACCAAGTAGAAAAGGAGGGTAGTCAGTTAGTTAAGAATTGTATTGTAGTATTCGAGTTATACGAAAAGAGTATTATTTCCAGTAGTATAATTCAAGATAGTTAATTTCGCAACCAAGAGATTATCTATATTTTTCGTTATATTTAAAATCTTACATTATTTTAATAAAAACCTATTTTCTTTAACTAAACATCCAACGGTATTTCACATGATTATTTGTGATCGACTTAAGACTCTCCTATTAAGTTAAACTCCAGTTAACCTGTTAAAGCGTTAAAGTTTTTCAGTTGGCTTTAATCGTTGACAGGATAACAATATAAAGGGTTTAATTGTATTTCAGTTATAAAACATTGGCACTTAATATTTATTGTTAAACTATTTGCTAAACTTCTTCCTATAGGTACTATTTTACTACAGCGAAAACCAAATCTATACAAAGAGTTTGTTTGTCCAAGATGCAATGCTAACAAAGAAGAAAACAGACACCATTTTATTGAATGTGAGGCCAATAAGAACTTATGGCCTATAATCAAAAGCAGAATGCAAAATGATATGATTTCCATAATCCAAAAATAGAGTAATATAACAGAGGATACACCTAAGATTATAAATAAGAAATTAAACCAGATACTAGAAACACAGTATGATAACAAAAAATTTTTTGATTTTTGCTTACTAGCCTTGGAAGCTAAGATTGACACTAATTTTTCCAAAATATCAAAACAAATATTTGGATTTTCAGAGTCAAAAAACATTTTATTTTTGGCCTCACTTCTGAACTTTTTCATCATTCACTTTAAGGAACTAATTTGGTTGCCTAGATGTAATGCTACTAATGCATGAAAAAAGGCTAAAAATATTGGAAAAAAAGACAAATTAAATGAATCTGAAAATATGGATCATTATTTCAAATCCCCTCATCAAGCAATTAAAACAGAATAAACAACAATCAAAGAAGAATAATATGACAAATTCACAGGAAGATCAAATGGAGTTTGGTGATACATCATTGGAATTGGACTCAGTACAGCCTGAAAACTTAAAAAATGAAAATCTCATATTATCAAAATGCTACAAAATGAGAAAAAAAGCTCAAGATCAAATGTGTTTACTAATTAATAACAACTGGTGGTTTAGTTGGGCTTATAAAAAGACAAAAAATGTTGTGAACAATGTTATAATTGATTTAGCAATAGTATAATTAATCTTAATTTGGAATTATATATAAATTTACCAAATTTAAAAGGAAAAAAGGGAGGAAAAAATATATATATATATATAATAATAACAATAATTAATAGATATAATATTAATTATTTTTATTCTATAATCAATAGACAACACTAATTATTTTTATTCTATATTTATTCTTATCTATATTTTGATGATTGCATCCTACTGGGTGGATATAGCTTATGATAATTTGTTTGTATGATATATAAACTACATATCAATAAAGCATATATAAATCATTTAAAAAAAAAATATATATATATATATATATATATAATTTAAGTACTTGAGCAAAAAATAAGTACATTAAAAGTATATTTTAAGAGTATTTTAGGCATATTTTAGGTATATTATAAGTATACCGTGAATTAAAATTGATACTTATTTTAAGTATATTTTAATAAAATTTTAAGTATATTTTAAGTATAAAGACTTTTCATAGGATTATTATAAGTAAGCGGAGTCCTGTTTGATGGGTATATTGGGATTAGTGTTCTGAACGGGTCAGGTCAGGTCAGGTAATCCGTCTTACCTGACCTGACAAAAAAAATCGGGTCGGGTCAGGTTGGGTAACCTGTCTTATCTGACCCAACCCGTTAACCCGTTTGACCTGTGTATCAAAAATGACTAAAAAAATAAAAAAAACCTGGGATTTTAATTGAAAACGTCAAACCCGACATTTTTAGTTAAAGAAAAGTTTTTTTTTAATGAAAAACGTCAAATCTGACATTTTTTAGTTAAAAAAAACAAAAAAACATCAAACTTGACATTTTTTAGTTAAAAAAAAAACAAAAAAACATCAAACTTGACGTTTTTTTGTTAAAAAAGCAACGTTTCGGCATTTTTTTTAATATAATTTACATGAAAAAATGCTGAAACGTTTTTTCTTAATAATAATGCAAAAAAAAACATTTTGACATTTTTTTTTTATAATTTTATACGAAAAAACGCCAAAACATTTTTTCTGTAATAATTAATACAAAAAAATGTTTCAGTGTTTTTTTTTAATAATTTTATATGAAAAAACGCCAAAACGTTTTTCTATAATATAATTAATACAAAAAAATGTTTCGGCATTTTTTTTCTAATAATTTTATATGAAAAAATGCCAAAACGTTTTTTCTATAATATAATTAATACAAAAAAAACGTTTCGGCATTTTTTTTTCTAATAATTTTATATGAAAAAATGCCAAAACATTTTTTCTTAATAGTAATGCAAAAAAAAACGTTTTTGGTATTTTTTTTTACATATTTGACCCATCTGACCAGAAATATTATGTCAGGTCAAATGGGTCAACGGGTCAGGTCAAACTGTGATCTGACCCGAGGTCGGGTCATGAATTTGATGACCCGACCTGAAATTTTCAGGTCAACCCAACGGGTCACCTGAATTAACCTGACCCATTCAGAACACTAATTGGAATTATGATCAGATTTTCAGTGAGGTACTCCTACCATATTACTATACTTCATTTGATGGACAGCTTTTTCATTCTAATGCACCTTGAAGACTTTTGCAAATATAGGCATACTAATATTGACATTCTGACAGTTATTGAAAAGGGATTAGGATCAGATTTTTAGTGAGGTACTCCTACCATATTACTATACTTCATCTGATGAATAGTTTTCTCATCCTAATGCACCTTGAAGACTTTTGCAAATATGGGCCCACTAATATTGACGTTCTGACAGTTGTTGAGAAAGTAGTTAAAGTCTGAAGGGTACTTCAGCCTAGTCTTTTTATCATTGATTCTATTAGGTCCTATGGAGTAGATGCGGACTTCTTTACGAAGTTTACTTAGATCTGGATTTATATTAATGTTATTAGGGCGTTTTGGTTAAAAGTTATTTCTTTTTATTGCAGGGAAAATTAAATTTATCCGTAGTTAAGGTTGCCTACCTAAACCTCTTCAAAATTCTACGATTAGTTTCTCTAAAATTTTACTATAGTATTATTATCATTTCAGTAAGGTTTTAGCAATTTCAGCACTTATAATAAGTTTCGTTAGGTTTTACTTTTCTCTAGAGTTTCGCCAACTTTTTAATAAGACTTTCATATAGTTTCGGCAAAGTTTTACCATTTCGGCATTTCGCTAATTTACTAAAACCCCTAGTTTCTTCAGCAACTTTATCTGTACTAGTACAGTAGGTCCTGTAGTTTCTATCACGTAAAAAGAGAGACAACTGCTAAGATAGATTGTTCCTAAACGTGTTTTACTCTCTAAGCATAATTACCATTTGACAGTGCACATGTAGGGTATTTTATAATATGACAAGTAGTTCGTTAATTAATAATGTTAGGTTTTAGTAATAGACTTTATTGTCTGAAGTAAAGTTGCTTGCCGAAACCTAGGGGTTTAGGCAAGATGGCGTTTCGCCAAAAAGCGAAATTCTGCCGAAACTATATTAAAGTTATATTAAAAAACTGGCGAAACTTTGGAGAAAGGCGAAACTGCCGAAACTTATTATAAATGCCAAAACTGCTGAAACTCTGCCGAAACTATAATAAATCTATAGTAAAATTTTGACGAAACTAATCGTAGGATTTTGAAGAGGTTTAGACAAGCAACCTTAGTCCGAAGCGTAAGCGTAGGACACTTCCATTCTACTCCATACCATGCATGTTGGTGTCTGTCCGCACGCGTGTATGGCCAATAAAATCTAAGGATCAGGTGTAACCTTAAATTTGTTTACGTGCATCTTTATGCCTCTGATTTTAAAAATATCTTTATAAAGTCACATGACTACTGTTTATACGTTAAATTTAAAAATTTTTTTATCCCTGATTTAAATTTTCTTATTTCTTAAAAGTTTTTTATGGCATTCAAATAATAAATTAATTTTTTTTTTACTCATAATTTTTACATTTTGTATTTTTTTTAATTAAATGTTAACTTTTTATTTTTTTTTTTGACAATCATGAGAATAAATTAAAAATTTGCAACACAGTACAAAGTATGAAAGTATGATAATAAAATGACATTTTTTAGTGATACTATTACTTTTTTTAGCATTTTTAGTGTTATATTTTTAGTGTTCAGTTTAAATTTATGAACATGTAATTTATGATGCTTCGGACACACCAACGGTTACCATTTCCTAGTTATACAAATTGTATTCTGTTTATTTTCTTTTACTTAATAAATTAGCGAATGTGCTGCAGTTAAAAAAAAAAATAGTTATCTTCAATTCATTTGTCTGTTAAAGTGAGTCAAGCCCTTCTATAAAGTAAAAGGACAACTATAGTATGATGAGTCTAATATTACTACCAAAACCAGCAAAACAAAAGAAAAAAGTCAATATTTTTTCAAAAAATTCCAGGTTTTTTCTGAATATTGTAGACTACGAATCAAAAGTTTTATTTTTGCAAGTAAAAATGTAGTTTTTTTAAGTAGTTCAGTAACAAAGTCACTTTTTTGCAAAATTATTTTTTTGGAAAATTTTTGGGTGTGAGATCTACTAGAAAGAGTTTTAGTTACAAGTATTTATTAATATATACAGAATACAAAAAAGTAAAAAAAAATAAACAGCTATAGTAATATTAGATATACAGAATATGCCTTATAAAATCATATGTAAATTAAATAATTGGTTAGTCTATTAGCTTAAAATAAATATTACTAATAAAGACATTTACAAAAATATCAAATTTTTGAAGTAAAAGAAATATGAATATTATCATTAGTATTAAAGTACAAGTAAAAAATGTGGATAGTATTGTTAATATTATGATATGAAGTAACAAAAAAGTAAAAAAAATGTATTAGTATTAAAATAATAAGTATTAATAAACAAATATATAAATGTATTATACATAATTAAAAAATATTGAACAAAAAAATAAAAAAATAAAAAAATAAAACAAAATAAAAAATGAACATGTTATTAGTATTAAGATAAAAAAATGTAGCTAGTATTATTAGTATTGTTAATATTAAAGTACAAGTAAAAAGAAATAAAAGAAATATGAATAGTATTATTAATATTATAATATAAAATAATAAAGTAGTAAAAAATACTAGTATTAAAATAACAAATATTTCTATACTTGCAAAGTAATATATGTAAATATATTGTAAATAATTTTAATGTTAAAATATATTGAACAAAAAAATAAAGAAATATAAAAACTAAAAAGAGATAAAAAAAAAATTAAAAAATATTAGATAAAAGAAGAAAAGGAAAAACAAAAAAATAAATAAGACAAAAAACACATATATAATTCAGCCTAATTTTGATTGATCAGAAAAAATGATATTATAAAATTATAGAAATTCTCAACATGAACATGATATAAATAAATTGTGATTGAATTTGTGTTGATAATTCTGGTAAAAATTTGTTTTTTTTTGGCCAAATTTTGTTAAATTTATTAAATTTATATTGAACTTGTATTGAATTTGTATTGTTAATTTTTTAATTTATCACAAGAGGATGATATTTATTAACTATAAAGGTCATATGTAAATTTACTTAACTAAAATATAAATATATATAAATTAGCAGTTTAATACCTTAGAATTCCAGCAGATTTCTACTAATTAGCAGTTTAATGCCTTAGAATTCCAGCAATTTTCTACTAATTAGTAATTTAACACCAATAGAATTTAAGAAAAAAATAAGGTAAAAACTATTAGTAAAGAGCTAATTTTCTAAGTGACTTTTATTATAAGTAAGCAGGATCCTGTTACCATCTTATTCCACTTTAGCTGTATCTTATATATGTAATGTGCATGATAATCTGGCATTAATTTCACATAATATAAACTTTAATTACAACATATACAAATTATGAATTTTTGTGATGCAGAATTTTTATTATATAAAGAAACTAATTTCCATTAATTTACATTAATTTATTAAGATAGTGAAATTCAATAAACCAGAGCTATTAGTTCCACTAAAAATATCCAGTTTATTGGGATATCTAGTATAATGGAAAAATTTTGATATACTAAAAATCTATTATACTGAATTTTTAAAAAATTTTTTATGCTAATAAAACTAATAATTATACACTATATTTTAATTTTTTTATCTTAGTTTTAAGTCATGAAAATGAATATAAAATATTTTTAACTGAATATATAAGTAATATATAACTTCAGCCAGAATTAAGGTTTTATAATTCTGACCAAAATAAAGATTTACCGCATCACTTGTTAATTATCACGTGATCCTATTTATCGAATCATCTGGTTAGAAAATTGATCCGTTATAGCGAATATCAAGCTTTTACTAGTAAACTCCGGTATATCGAAACTATTTTAATATATGTGATTTGGTTCCAACAAAAAAGTCCGGTTTAGGCAAATTCGGTTTATCGAATTTCATTGTGTATGTTGTAAATTTAAATTTACAGTAAAGTGTTATTATACGACCAAACAGGATTATGTTTTTGACATTATTGCATAAAATATTATTTAGATTAAATATTACATAATTATATCAAATTTTATAGGTAAAATACCAACTAGCTTATTGAGTGAAACATGATCTTGAATGTCTGAATAATATAATATCATCGCAGTTCGGTGATATTTAACCTCCTTGCCCGATAACTATTATATATTTTAATTACCTCAAAATTTTATATGTTTTGAATTCATAACTTTTTTATTTATAAATTAAATATTCTAGTAATTTCTGAATTCTAAAGATCTAAGTATTAATTACTCGGAAGATATGCATTATTAGCCTCATTAAAAAAAATGAAATGCTTTTACAATCCACCTGATAATCAAAAATTGAATCTATGCCAAGATTATATACATTAATGAAGAGAGAATACAATTCATCTCTTCTGAAATTGCAGGAAAAATTAAATATTAAGAACAAAAAATAACAGTTTAAATAAAATTGTGAAATTACCTCATGTTTTTTTTTTATAATTTATCGTAAATCGATCACATTAAGTTCCATATTTTTTTCTAAAATAACATGACCTTGGTCCACAATATTCTACAAAAAAAAAAAAAATTATATTTTTATTATATAAAATATATTTAAAAAAACTTGAACAACGAATTCAACAAACTTTGTCAATAGGTAAATCAGATTTATGAGGATGAAATCCTCTTTCTGTGCATCCAAGAACAATCTGTAATCCTGGTGGATTAGTTAATCGAAAGATCCCAAAGCTATATAAAGAAAAATTATTTAATGATTATTAAAAGAAAAAAAAATCCGAAATTTGAAGGAAAAAAATTACTTTGGATCATGCCTCGGTGCACACACAATAGCAATTGCTTCTGGAGAAATAACTTGATATGAAGAGTGTGTATGTAAATCCATCGAACTCATAAAACAAGTTTGTGATGGATGCGTCTGAAATTTGATTCAAATAGTTTCTTAAGAATTCTTCGTTGCATAAATAAAGTCCAAATAAAAAAGTATTTACATGTATCCACCCTAACATTATTAAACCTCTTTCTTCGGCATAATCTATTAATTCTTCTTCATTCGTCATAGTACATGTATCTGAAGTAGCAGTTTGCTTAGGAATAATTAATGTACTGATAGAAAATACGTTTCTTGCCTTAAGAAGATATTTTATGATATCGTTAAATATAAAATATCGAGATAATATTGAAAAACAAAACAATGACATACTAAGCTTCCAAACAGAACTCCACATGTTTCTAGATTCTTTAAAGTGTTTTTGGCAGCAATTTTAGTAAAGTTTTCATATATATCACTTGAAAGACGTACTTTTCGAAGACCTTCACCGCCCTCGGTGAAAGCGGCAAATTCTGAAGATTTATATAGAAAATCGTTTAATTCCTATATCATAATTATAATCCTATTAGTAAAAGTGAAGTAAAAACCTGGTTCACTTTTATGAATAGATTCAACATTAGGAATATTATATGGAACTGTCGAATTGTAAGTTGTCGACATATATTCATTTGGTTTCGGTGGAAGTTGTGGGGGTTCATATTTCACTTTAGGAGGCAATTCTGGTGAATATTTAATTTGTGTAGAAGTAGATATTCCAATAGTTGGCATTTCCACAGACGGATAAGTATATCTAATTGAGTTGATAACTAGGTTATTTACATATAAAACGAAATTAATATCTATGAATTTAGTTAATTACTAAATACCCATCACTTTGATTTCGCATTGAAATTCCAGGATATTCAACCTACGAAGATATTTAGAAGGTAAGTTTTCGCGTATAAAAAAAATATAACAATTAACCAAAATTAACGCATTTACCGAACGATAAGACTGTTCCTCATGTATACTTTATTAAAAAAGGATCGAAGTATGAAATTTTTGATATAATAGTAAAAAGTATGAATAATAAAATTTTACATACGAGTTATTATTGTAAGTGAATTTATTTGACGGTAAATCTTTCAACTGCTCAGCCAAATTCCAATTTTCATAAGGGACGTAAGTTTGTTGCAATGGAGGTAGCGGACGAGGTGAGCTTTCGGGTTTTTGCATGGACCGATACCGGGCTTCGTCTTCAGCAATTTCCTTTTCAGCTATTTGTCTAAAACGATCTTCTAATATAGGTTTTAAAGCTGCGATTTCATTAAGCACCTCCTTTGTATTCTAAATGAAAAAAAAGTCCTAAATCAGTGCTTGATTGAAGATCGGTCGAGAAACTCCATTATGGGTACTTTACTTTAAGTAATTCATTTCGTCCAGCCTTATGTTCTGGCTTTTTATAGTCTGGATGACTCGGCAGTTTCTCAATGGCCAGACTATTTCACAGAATGTTAAATTTTTAATAATTATATGACAATTTTTAAAAAAATAAAATTATTACTTACGTGGCATATCTCATATAGAATTTATATGCGTTCACTAAGTCATTCTCTTTCATGTAAAGCCTTGACTATAATGAATATTTGCTGAATTTCAGGTTTTTTCAGAAAAAAGAAGGCATTAAAAAGGTTTACCTGTCGCAACAACGTGTTTGCTGAACGAAAGTAAATTTTTAGAGCACCACCGGGAATGTATCTGACTTGAGAAGCCTCTTCTACAAGCCGTTTCATTTTCATAGAAACGAATTCTGTAGGGTCCTTAGACATTGTTATGAAATATCTATTCGCAATTTTTCACAGTTGAATACTTTTTAAACTGAAGAGGTTTGTCTCACAATTCCCTTTTTAATTTAGCTTATTTTTAAGCTATTTAGGCAGGTGTAACTTAAGGAATAGATAATCATTTGTTAAATTTTTTCAGTGCAAAATAAAGAATAATGGCCTCTTCAACTCGTGCTGCAGCTGCGATCGATTGGTCAAAACTTACGGTCTCTTTAGGGTTAAAAAAAGAAACAGTAGCTGCACTTCAAGCCTTTCGTAAGCGTAATGATGAGGCAAGAAGGGTAGTTTCAGCTTTGAAAGAACAAAAAACTGACATTAACTTTGAACATTATAGAAAGATCTTGAAGAATAAAAGTATTGTAAATGAAGCTGAAAATGCTCTAAGAACCTTTGAACCTGCAAAAATTGATCTTACAACACAAATGAGAGCTGTTGAAACTATTGAGACAAAGGCGGTAAGAAATAGTGGATTATATAAGTTAAGCTTTACCTTTTTTTTTTTAAGAAAAAAAAATTTTTTAGGTTGAAAATGCAAAAAAGACAGCAGCAAGAGTTGATACAGAATTGAGAGATTTACATAATACATTAAAGAACATTGAACAAACAAGACCATTTGAAAGCATTACTGTATGTTATTTATTTATATTTGTATAATATGTCCTTTATTACTAAAATTATTTTGATTATTTTCCTTTTAGATTGAGGAAATCGTTAAAGCTAAACCTGAAATCAATGATATTGTAGAGAAGATGGTTAAAAAAGGACAGTGGAGTGTTCCTGGTTATGAAGAAAAATTTGGCTATGGTGCCTAAGAAAGTATCATTATATAGTTATTGGCGAATTTATATAGTAACTACTAGTAGTGCGACTCAAATTGATGTATTAGTGAATTGTTTATTATGCCTATTTCGCCAAAATACAATGTTGTATAAAATGAGATGGTTAATTTTAATTATTATTAAATTTTTATTTACAAAATGATTTTGCTAAATAATTATATATATTATTAAATTTATAATTAGTCTCAAAATCATTTTTTATCGTCGTATTTTCTTCTTGGTGCGAACATCTGTCAGACTTTGAAAACTTTCATCACTTCCTGACAGTTCATTTCCTTCATTACTGGCCTCCTCTTCATCCTTATCATGTCGTCTTCTGTTATTTGTAGGCTTTCTTTTCTTTGGAGACCTTAAATTCTCATCATCATCATCAATTGGTGCAGACCGTTTATTGCCTGTCGGCTTTTCATTGCTGTTAACTAAAGAATTATTCGTATCTTCAACATTGAATGAAGACATCCCGATACGTTCTTTCGTAGAAGTAACAATCCCTTCATAATTTTCTTGATTCTCCGAGTTCGAATCAATGTGCTCATCATGCTTTGCATTGCGTTTCAAAGATTGTCGATTTTTAGTATTGTTGGCAGATCGTCTTTTACTTGGATCACCAGCGGAGTTATCTACTTGGATAGAAGTATACATAAATTAATCATATAAGAACCATATAATCATTTTTCTTCTAAGTAAATGAAATGATCTATACCTATTCTAACCCCTCCTTTCGTCATTATGTTACTAAGCTTCTGCACATATAAATAGTAAGGTTCCCATTGTTTATCCAGTTCTGATGGGTGAACCTCATGAGTATTCATCTCTTGTTGAAGAATTGAATATCTAAAATTTAAAAACGAAAGTAAGGATTACAGTACTAAATCATAGACTATATACCATACGACTTACATTTGTTGAGCATCTTTCACTTTCATTCCTCCTACCATCATGCTTAAAATTTTGAAGAACTTGATTGCTTTCATAACTTCCTCATTTTTATCGAGTACTTTGAATTTCGTTATTATTGATGTAGTATACAAAATTCCTGTACGATGTAAATCGACAAAATAGTCGACAATCTTGCGCGTTGTTTTATCAATGGTCTCTCGTAATTGCAAGGCGTTTGTGCAGAGACGAACAAGTGATGTTGTTCCATTCATTGTATCAACATGTCCTTCCACATATAGTTCATGGGACTAAATTTAATCGAATATCAAAATTGAATAAATTATTAAAAAAAAAAAATGAAGCATTAATGAACTTTGCACATGAATACCTTTTTCAACGATGAGATGCATATTTTCGCGAATGATTTTGCTTCACCTCCTAATACAAGATCCTTAAAATCTTGTATTAGTTTTTTAATTAAGTTGTCTAGATCACTAACAAGAGTCCCTAGTTGACACATCACAATAGCAACACGTGACTCTTGAAACCAACCACCCCTAACTCCTCGTGCAAGAGTCCCGATAATGTCCAAAATTTGTTGTTTTTCTTCAGGATCAATAAATATCTCCATATTTTTCATTACTATGAGTTTATAACGTAAAGGTTTAGCTTACTTTGGTTTATTAAGAGTAATATTTGCTGAGATAAACGATATTAAAAACAACGTACGTTTTTTAAGTCTTTCATATTCTTGTTCTTTAAAATTATCGTATTCTTGTTTAAGAGTTTCATTAATTTGCAACAGAAGTTTTTCATATTCTTTAAGTTTTTCGGATTCTTGTTCCGTTTGATCATTTTTGTTCTGGATCTCTTCCAACCTTCTTCTAAATTTTTCATTTTCTGGTTGAACTTTATTTTGAGAAGCTTTGCTTAATGCAGCCTCTAGCATTTTCAATGCTTTATCCTCTAGCTTCGATCTTGTTTCCATCTCGAACCTTGATTTTATTGACAATATTGTATTCCTAAAATTCTCTATTTCCTCAGTAACAAATTGTTCAATTCTTTCTTGTAAATCTGCGTGACAAGAAAGCCTCAATTTGGAAAGACTAGGCCGATGATTACTGGAATAAAAAATGTCACTCGAAAACAGCCAATATATATTACCAAGAGTTGAAAATGCCTAATTATTGTGATCATTAAAAACAGTTAATATACAACCCAATTTATTAATAAGATGAACAATAAAAATATATATTACTGCTGTTTTAACTTTCAAAAGTGCCCCTGAAGAAATCGAAACGCCTACTTCAAACAAAGTTTGAACTATCTGGTCTCTTCTAACAATTAAGTCATTCATTTTATCAAGTGATATATCTGAAGCTGGTTGATTTTTGGGCATCAGAATTTCATTAGCTTTCCAAAGTAAATAGTTCCAAATGCAGCTAATTGCCGAACAGACCATCTAAAATAGTAATAATCAATATATATCACATTACTTATAATATAATTTGAGGATCAGAGAAAACAACTTACCTGTTGTTCTTCCATATTATTCAACAAACCTCGTCGAATCAATTCGATAAAACAAGAATATATGTCTTTGCGATTATCATCGCACTCTTCAACAACATCAGTTATGCACTTATAGCCGATTAATGTTTCGAATCTAGTTAAAGATACTCCTAATGAATGAACTTGATCACTAGTCAACTCCATTGTCAACAGTTCCTTTGGATTACAAAAGAAAAAAAAATTTTTATAAATGAATTATCACTATTATCTCGCAACAATAAATTAAGGAAATAACATTACCTTATTGTCGCATTCTTCTATAAATGTTTGAATAACCACTTCCTGCAATTCTCCCAGGTTAGCCTCTGTAGTCGAGGCAAAGCTTTCGTATGCCTCCATATGTGAGAAAGTTCTAACTGCATGAGTAAGAACTAACGGATGTGTGTGCTTCAAGAAGAGCTTCTTGACATCTTCGATAAGTAACTCGTAGGCCTATTGGCAAAATTTATATATAAAAAAGCTTTTATGTAACATAAGTCACTCTCAGTACTCTACCTTTAACATACGCAATTCTGAATATACTTGTAGATTCATTAACGGTGGTATTTGCAAAACCTCCGCTATCCGACCTGCATCAGGAGCATATTTTGTCAAGAGTCGAGGTAAAGTATGTACCATTGTTCTTGAAACTTCATCGCGTATTTCTTCGATCTGTACTTCAGTCTAAAATTTAAATTGGTAATTAGCCAGAATCTCGTAAAAATTTAATTATATAAACTCTGGGAATTAACCTTTTTCTTGTCTCTACTTATTGGGTCGGCAAGAATTAATTTGAGACATGCAACGAGAACCTGGACTAGCACAGATTCTTCACGTTCACTAAGCCTATAACAATCTTCAATAGCATCTACAGGATTGTCTCCTCCCTGAGGATCTTTTGCAGTACTAGAACTATTCGTCAAAGTATGATCTTTGGAGAGGTATTCGGCTAAACTATGCCAGTCATGTAATATTTCCATTTCATTCCAAAGAGCTTCAATAGCTAATGCTATTCTATTGTTTTTTACATCTCCGATAGATAAAATTGAAGATCCATCTTCATATTCATCACTATCATTACTTTCGTCAATTTCATCATTCATCTCATCATCTTTCCGAGAGTTTTCGGTTGGCTTTCTATATTTCACCAAAAACTCTGCCAAACACTTAAAAGCTACCCAATCGCGTTTTACGGAACTTGCAATTTCATTACCACTACCATTTCTGTTTCTTCTTTTCGTTACACCGTTACTAGATAGGAAAGTTTGAACTTTTTTAAGTTTTGAACTAATGAAATCCTCATCCAGTAAATCCTTAACGAATGGTGCAATCGCTTTCCTCACTTTTGATAAATCACTATATATGAGAAGCGATAACTCATCCCGATCTTCATCTTCTAATAAACCTGATCTATATATTTGAGTCAATAAACTTATGGTAGTAATTCGAACACTAAGTTCGGACTCCCGCGAAGCCATTTCAATTAAACGTGGCTTGAATCGTTCGGTAAAATTTCGTAGTCCGCTTATAAACGTCTCGTTGATATATAGACGTGATAACGATTTAATGGCTTCTATTCTCGCTACTGGTGACTAATTATCGTATAAAGTCAATATAAAGAAAATATAAATTATAAACTTTAAACTTTAAAATATACAGGATAAAAATTTTTTTTATTACCTTATCTGATAACTGCCAACCAAGATATCTTGTAACTTTATCTTCTAGGAATCGATCAGGATATTTAATGATCCAGACTCCTAATTCCTTTACACATTCTGCTCGTATTATAGCTTCTACATCTCGATAACGATGAATAAATACACTATGTTACGAAAAAAATTAAATTAAATAAAATCAACTAGAATAAATTATAAATAATACAGTGATTTATATATTAACCCATTAAAAAAATCATTGAAATAGATTTCTAATCGTTGCTTTTTCTCAGTTAATTCTGCTGTTTTTGACCGTAAACTACTCATCCTATCTTGATTCCTTAAATTTCTTAAATTTTTGTTCTTTATTTGTTCCGAAGTTAGCTGACGTGTAGCAATGTTCAATTCAGTTTGAACTTCTTGGGCAACCTCGCAAAGACAGCTTAATAAAAAAAGAGCAATTGCAGTTGCGGTATGTCGAAAAGGTCGGAAAGCAGAACTAAAAAAGTTTAATAAATAAATGAGAATAGACTTAATTAAAAAAAAAAAAATCTTAATACCGAAATAGGTTTAGATACCACACCTTGACATCGAGCAGACCCAAGCATATATAGTTTCACAGAAAATACTATCATATAGTATAGAATGTTTAACTTGCTTTATCAACCTATGGAAAAATTCCAAAAAACTTTTACGGAATTTTTTAAAATCCTTAGCTTTGGAAACAAGAGGATAATCTGTGATAAGTTCCTATTAAAATATTATAGCGTTAATGAAAATAAATACTTAGAAAATAACTTATAAGATAACATTTACCTTTTTAAATGCGTTTTGCAGTCCGTTTAGAACGTCAACAATTGCATCTTCATCTTTAATAGCCTCCTTTTCGATTGTTTCAGGACATCCGCAAGACTAAATTTAATACAATACAATTTACTAAAGCTTGAATTTAACGTAAAATTTTTAACAAAGTATGAAATCCTGTACGTACCCGAATTATGAAATTGAGCAATATAAGTAAAGCTCTTTGATTATCAATTTCGTAAGTTTCTACCCAATCCGAAACAATATTCTCTAAATTAACATTTGGCATAAGAATTGCCTCTGAAGATAAAGTATATCGATAAGTGAATAACAAGTAACACCAAATAAGGAAATTTCTTCTCTAAAATTTAACAACGTACGATAAAGTGACAATCCACTATCTTCTAAATGGTCACGAGAACTTATAGTATTTTGTTCATTCGCAACCGAAGATCGCAGAGAAGGCGTATTTTCTGGAGCACTTTCATGTGCACTTTCATAGATTTCACCTAAAATATTTCCAGTAACAACTTCGCCTATATTTTCGGGTGAATTCCCTATAGCGTTTTCAGGTGTACTTTGCCGCGTATCAGTCTTAGTTTTCTTTACCCTACGAGATTCTGTTAACTTTGCAGGACCCGAAGATTTTTTAGGCCTTCCTCGCTTTCTTCGTAGTGAAATATTGGTTTCATCATTAACCATCTCATCATCAGAACTATTTTTATCATGAACTTCACTGGACTGTGTAGATGAGTTCTTTCTTGATCTTCCACGCTTTCTTCGAATTTCTGGTTCTGATAGATTAGATACTTCCTCCTCAACAACCTCTTTATCGTGATCATTGCCTATATCTGTGGATGAATTTTTCTTTGGCCTTCCCCGTTTTTTTGGAGCTTCAGTATTAGACTTTCCAGCTTCATCCGAGACATCTTGATCTTCACTATATTCTATGTTTTTTGGCCTTCCTCGCTTTTTTCGACCTTCGGATACTGAGCTACTTGACTCATTAGCCATTCCATCGGAACTGTTTTTATCAGAAACATCGTTAGATTTATATATTGAATCCTTCTTTGATTTTCCTCTCTTCCGTCGAATCTTTGGTTCCGCTGTATTTGAATCATTAGCTGATCCATTGTCAGAACTATTTTTTTCACTAGATTGAGTAGAAGAATTTTTTCTTGGTCTTCCCCGCTTTTTTTGAACATTCAGAGCTAATGTGTTGGACTCATAATCGGGGGCACTGATATCATTATTCTCACTTGAATTTGCAGTTGAAGATTTCCTAGGTCTTCCTCGCTTTCTTTTAACGTCTTGTGCTGATATATTGGTATTATTGAGCATTTCAATATCCGAAACATTCTTATTATCATCATCATCTATCTCATCATTATTGCCTATACGACGTGATTTTCGTCGAGTAGTTGATGCTATATTCGAAATTATATTTAACTAATAGTATATTCATGAAAATAAGAAAACAAAAAGGACGTACTTTCATCTTGCAATAACCAACTTGGTGGTTTCCTTGTCCTAGTTGATCTCCGCAAGTTTGATATATTGGTTTCTTTTTAAAAGATGTTATATATTTATTTAGCCTTTATGAGAAAGTGTTTGAATCTTATAAAAAAAAATATATATATGTATACTTGTTGAAGTTTCAGTTTCTGCCTCTGAAACTTTATCTTGAGTCTTTTCTGAACGTTCCTCATTATCAGAGGGCTGTGATCCGATATCCATCTATTTGTGCTTAAATTGTTTAAATGATCAATATTATAAAATCGTCTAAATTCTAATATTTACCTCCATTTCTAAATAGGATCCCGAGTTAGTAGTCATTTTCTATATTTAATCTGAAAGTAACAAACTTTTAGGAAAATTCGTAAATCAATAAAAAAAAAAAAAAAATAGCTCGCGAAAATGGGTTTCAAAAGGACAAGGTAATATTCAATAACAAAATAAAACTTAAGTATACCTGATGATAAAACTGAGCTTTTGAAAAAAGTTATAGATTGTAATAATATTATTGTATCTTTTGTTATTATATTTTAACAAGTTGCTTGATATTTAAGAAGGTGGTGGAAAAAAGTGTGTTTAAAACGCGTGGATAAGATACGTCTGAAACCACTAAGAAAGTTATTTGGTACGCGTTTTTGGGGTTTGCTTTATATTCAAAATTTTACACAATGAATCACAGGGACGTCACTATAGTAAGTTATTTAGTTTCGAAACATAGTTAGAAAAATGGCCGGAGTTACCATTTTTTTAGCCGTATTTACACACAGTAATTTGTGGCCAACCAATCATAGTTGCCATTTTTTCCGAAAACTTCGTATTACTATAATCATAGCAAGTATGGACACGTGAATAACCAAGCCAGTATAAAGTTTTTCGAAACATCATGTAATTTATTAGGAATACAGTACGTTTAAACCGTTAAAGCACTATATCTGAAATGTAATTATGCAGAGGGATTATACACCTTTCTTAATTCATTAATATCAACTTTGATTAAAGTTATTGGACATCGCTCATAATCTTCAATATAGCTAAAAATACAAGGATAGCAAAAAACATATCCAGACGGAAGTGCTGTCGTATTAGTTAGAAGGTTCGTACAAATTGGACATACATTAGGTGATTCTGGAAGCGGAATTCCTCGCGGATCAGGCTAATAAATTTAAATAAAAAATTAACGAACCGTTTAAAAGCGAAATATCATTGCGTAAAACAATACCGCTATAATATCAGGAGGTGGCACATCTACTCTATTTTCAATACCAGGCCGTCTTGCGTATTCGCTCGAATACCACCACTCCAGAAATCTGGAAAAGAATATAGACATCTGCAATAAACTTTTGAGAAAGTTTAACAAGTCTGATAAAATTATACTTAAAAAGTTGCGAGTGGCCTGAAGTAATGTTTTTGTTGATAAATTATTTCTTGTTGAATTTAATCTTCGTTCAAACTGTTCATATAAATAATTTGTCACATTAAAATACTATAAAACGAGACCATGAACCATATTTACTCACGTAATCTTGCGCACTCATTCTCCGGACTTCTATACCCATTAGGCTTAGCCAAGGCGTATAACAACGTGTTTTATCATATAGATATAGAACGTTATATAATAGTATTGAACCATGATATAAAGCATTCAACCATGGATAAAGTATCTTGAATAAATTTCGTATGAAACGATGTACGCGCTCTTTACAATTAAGCTATTCAATTTATTAAAAAAACAAAACTTTTCTTCAACTCAACTTTAATAAATTAAATCATACGAACTTGTCTCTCATTATGTACTCGAGAAAATGTGCCACCTAGTAATCTTACACGTGCGTTTTCACTAACTTTTTCATATAAATCGTCAAGTTTTGTTTTTATGTATGGAATTCCAACCTTTTAATTTGAAATTAACAATGTTACGATTAAATAACAATTTTAAGAACACTGTGGATCGATTAAATTTTTACCAAAAAAAATAAGGATCGCCACATATCAGAATTTCTCAATTTTTGTAAATCAACATCCGGTGCTGCCTCCGGTAAATCGATTTTTGTATTTATTAATCGAATTCTTTTCAATCCATAAAAGCTCTCAGCAAAAGATGCGTCTAAAAAAATTTGAATAAAGATTATTAGAAATTGAAAACAACACTTTTAAAATTACATTATCAAATTTTACAATAATTTTTCAAGTATTGTCTTTCTATCAATAACATAGCGACAGCATAAAATTCATCAAATCGATTAACTATACGAAGCAAATACCGAGGATATCGTTGAGCATAAACCTATTTATAAGTTTTTAAAAAATTCAGCCATTCTCATAAGTTACGATCCTGTAGTAAAACCAATATTTACCGATAAAATATATCTGACAGCTGGTTGAATAAGCGCTCGCAACTTTTCTTGTGCTAATAATTCGAACAAAGAGGGCCGATATATATCGGCACCTGAGCTAATATCACTCATAAATTCCATCGTAGGAAGGAATAAAACTGTTAAAATGGCAATCACATTTCGCTTTCTAGATTTTTATTTCAATAAATTACGATTTTGCCCATTTTTGTTATTGATCTTCACTTAAATAAAAAAATTAACAAACTTTTTTGAAATTTATTAAATCATGAAGTTAGGTTTAATACACGGTTTAATACCAAATATTCAAAAAAAATCAACAATTGATTTTAGTTCTAATCGCTCATATATTTTTGATATAGCGTTAAATAATTCATTTTGTGTGGTATCGGGTTCAAACCATGAATTAAACTCATATAATTACAATAATAATTCTCTTATATTTAATGGAAAATTATCTTATCATAATGATACTATAACAAATTTGAAAATACACAAGGACCATTTTTTAATGTCAAGTTCAAAGGATGGCCGTATTGCTATTTGGGATCTGAGAACATCGAATCGAGACCCTTCACAAATTTTAATGGGTAGGACATTATTTTTAGTTTCCCCGTTTTTTTAAAAACAATTAACATTTACCTCAAATTAGCGAAGAATCGAAAACCTTTACTTTCATTTGATATCAACATATCTGATACCCTTTTAGCGGCAGGTACCGAACTCGTTGCAAAAGATGCTAGCATTTTATTTTGGTACATACATATATCAATTTATCTTTTTTAAAAAAATTAAAAATATCCTGTATTAAGCGAGTTTTATCCATTTATTTCCGCAGGGACTTGAGAAATCCGTCATCAGTATACGCTGAATTTATTGAATCACATAATGATGATATTACGCAAGCTAAATTTCACCCAATAAGTCCAACTCAGCTAATTACAGGTTCAGTTGATGGGTTGATATGTAATTTTAATTTAAATAGCTTTAAAGAAGATAAAGATCTGGTTGGCGTAATAAATTCTGGATCATCAATCAATCGAGCCGGATATTTTGGAAATGCCGAATATGTTTATTGTCTGACACATAATGAAACATTTAGTTTGTGGGGTGCCCCCGAAGTATGTTCTATGTTTCATGAATATAATAACGAAATATTCTTTATAGTCTCGGCATTTTCGTTAAATTTGAGATAATTTCCAGGCAGATCTATTATGTGATTTTGGAGATATACGGCAAAATTCCGATCAAAGTCTTGTTCGGATCGATTATGCTATCGATTGTCAATTCGATTTATCCACCGGTAGATTATATCTCTTTACCGGATCTAACACGTAAGTTCACGTCTGAATTCTTTCATAAACCTTTATTGACTCTTGATTATTCGACTTGTAGCGGAGATATCAGTATGATACACGTAAATGCTAATGAGCTACAATTATGCCAAACTTTTAATGGAGCTCACTCAGAAATAGTTCGAAGCATCTGTTGGAATCCACAGGTTAGTGAATTTCTTAATAATTAAATTATTGTTTCTTTATTTTTAAAATACTATTTTTCGTTACAGACAAATATTTTTCTGACGGGCGGCGAGGATTCGAAGCTGTGTTTATGGGGACCATAAGTAAGTATTAATATAACTCTATTAAATATGTAAATATTGGTAAATTTCAAATATTTGATCAACCGGAATGGGTTATATTAAATTTATGTAAGTCCTTGATACATTGAAGACCTTTTCAGAAAAGAATTAATCGTGTGATTTGTGTAAAAAAGAGTGAATGGAAATAATGGCGCAAGAAATGTATGGCACAAAGCTTCAGTCGGAGAAAGTCTCTTGGAAGAGTCATAATTGAAAATTTCATCAACAAATTTAATGAAATCCATATTATTAGTATTTAAGGCTTTCGATAGCCTTCTAATTCGCATCGATCGTATTCTATATTGGAAAAAAAAATAAGATTCACATTTTACCCTCTGATATTTAATCCATGTGACTTACGTTTCTTTGTTCGCTCCTACTGGCCAATCTTTTAATCCATCATCATTTCGGTTTAAATACCAAGCAAAATTTTTTGCGTTTTTATATAGCGAACTTGGAAGAGGACCTAATAGTCTTTCCATTTCTTTTATCATTCCGCTTTTTGTATCACTCTGAAAAATAGGATAACCAATCCAAATTTCGCATAAAATACACCCTAAAAATAATTTGCATTCAAAGTTTTAGGATTTACAAACAAAATAATGACGAATTACCATACATAACATACCGAAAGACCACATATCGATCTCATAACCAAAGGGAAGGCCCAATAAAACCTGAGATAAGAAATGTTCAGAATAAATAAATAAAATTATAAATTTTTAGTCTTAAAAACGTTTCTTACCTCTGGTGCTCTGTATAAAAGACTCTGAATTTCAAAACTTTCCGCATAATATTTTACATCATCCAGACCAATTGCATTACCGAAGTCAATCACTCTTAGCTCATAGGAATTCTCTATAACCATGATTTAAATAAAAATATGTCAAATTTTTTTTGAATTATCGAAAAATTTTCCTTATTAATATAAAAATTACCCGTAACAAAGAGTATATTTTCTAATTTTAGATCAGTATGTATTACAGCCATATGCTTAATATAAATTAAAGCAGTTAAAAGCTGACAAGCCACTTTTCTAACAATTTGCAACCGGAATTGTTCATTAATCATATATGGAACTTTTAGTACACCACCTCGATAATATTCAAAAACTAGACAAAAATGTTTGTCATAGAGGAACGTGTTCAAGAGTTTGCTAATGTGAATGTTTTCATAAATATCGTGTAAATTTAAGTAGCGTAACTTTTTACATTCCTAAAAAAGACAATAATAATCGTTTAAATTATTGTGATATCGAATTAATTATCTAAAATAAATTTGAATAGGAATATTAAACCTCGAATCCAACGTGGTTATACTGTGAATCCATAATCTTAACTGCCACTAAACTCCCGTTACGATATAGGTCCTCAGCACATACAGTTTTTGAAAATGCGCCTTCACCAACTATTTTAATAACCCGATATCGACGCGCTAATATTAATTGATTTGCGATTTCTGGATTAAAAGCAATTAGATGTAATATCTAATGAGAAATAGAAAAAATTTATATTTACAATCTTATTTACCTGGAATATCATCAAATGTCTCAGAATAATGACGCGACGTACCAGCGTGGCCAGTGTCTTTATTGTTCCAATTATTGGAAGATTTCGGATTTTCGCAGCTTTGTTGCCAAACGGCAGTTTTTACTTCCTGTAATAAAACGGAATGTGTAGTTTTCCAAGCAAAGGGTGTTTGCTCCTTCAATTCAATCAACTTTCGTTTTGAAAGTAATTCCTTGTGCAAAAACGAGAGTCCTGCAGTGACTCTTTGTACTATATTAAAATGGGCAATTGTTGGCTTGCAATTATTCGTAAAAAGATTTCGCACTTCTTCGTTCTTTTTTGTAAAGTCTCGAAAGTCCTTAAATATAGATGCATTATGAAACATTATTTTATCTGAAAGCGAAACCGACGCGTTAATTCTGATTACCAAATATGTAACTAATGCTAATTTACTACCCTTGAATATGATTCAATATTATCGTCTCTTTTACAATAGCTTTCTGATCACATGTTTCAGTTAAACTACCCAACTGTGAACTGGGGATCTCATTTAACGTATACCCGGGAGGACCCTGGATAATTATTTTTTGTGATGCGATAATAATTATAAATTAAAGTATTATCAATGAAACTACCCCTCCTAACAGGAAGAAGCAGACCAGTCACTGCAGAAGTCAATACACGAATGGTGATTCATGAAAGACTTAAATAATTTGACCAATGTCCACTCTGACCACTCCATTGGAAACGTTAAACTATTTCATAATTCCCGTCTAGAATTTCCCCTTTACTTGAAGATAATAGATAATTTAGATGGAATAATTCATTCTTTATTAAAAGTATAATATCACACATAGAATGCTGGCTAAAGTTAGGATAATCATAAATTGGTATATTAATATCATGAAATTTATAATAAAATCGGTATAATTAATTACAGGTGGATTTGGTTTAAGAAAGTTTGTTATAAGATTTATTTAAATTATATTAAGTTATAACTATACATATTTTTCTTTCTAAAAGTTATATGTAAATATTATTAGCTAATACAAAAAGAATTTCTTTACTATTTCTATTATGTCTTACTTCAGAAGCAAAAAAATACTTATATATCCATCATCATAATATTTATTAAAACATTTATTAAATATTCATAAATAGCACTTATTGAATACAAAATGTGTTGAAAAAATGCCTATAAGTGTTAAATTAAAGTATTTAAAAAATGCTTAAAAAATTAAATACTTAATAAATAATAAAATATTGCAATATTTAAGTATTAATTTTTTATTACTTAATAAATGCAAATTTTTAATACTTATTAAATACTGCCATTTAGTAAATATAAGACTCTATTTGGTTAAACTTTAAGCTTTACCTGTAAGTTGCAGTCAGATGCATAAAATTTTTCACAAGCACAATCAAATATAATATAATTTTTTTTTTTAAAAAAAAAAAAATTATCCTCAAAGAGAACAATAACCTTTATTAAAAAACACTATAAGTCATCTTTACAAAATAAATTCATATTATACCCCTGTTGTGTAATGTGAGATATACTTTATAAGCAATAAACCAGGTTAAATAGGAATTAGTAATTAGTAATATAAAAGCAAATACTATCAGAAAATCTAATAAAACTAATTAATCAGAAAAAATAAAACTTTTGAAAGAAATAAATTTCTATTTGTAAAAAATAAATAAAACTATTTATAAAAAACAAATAAAATCTAAACAAAATCTAAACAAGAAAAGAAATTAATTTCTCAATAAATAAACTGTCAACTTCTTAATATCACATCCTATTCATTAATTTCATATATGCTTTATTGATATTAAATACAAACAAATTATCATGAGCTATATCCACCCAGCAAGATGCAATCATCAAAATACAGATAATAAAAGAAAAATAATAGTTGATACTATACCAATTAATTTGAACTACAAGATTTTGAGTTTTTTTTTTTTTTCCCTTTTTCTTTCAAAATTAATGAATTTAATCTATCGATGATAGAGACTTGATTTTACCACCATTCGACGCGTCTCGATGAGAGTATTCCAACGAGCTATGGCTCGTCCTTGTACGATCACTGGATAGTCGTATATTCGTTTTTTCGCATTTTTTCTTAATTTCGGATAGAACCGAACCGAACTGGACGGTTCCAAGTCCAAAACCGAACCGAGAACCGAACCGAATTTTTTGCC